ACACATTCTTGAAAATTCTAAGAATCTAAGGCACAAAAAGGTCATATGATAATTGCATCACTTGGGTTCATGTTTGGCAGAGGTACTCAAATTACTCTCTTGAGAACGAACACTGGCCAACAGGCTCCTCCTGTTTCTCTCGCAGAAGACAAGCTTAGTTTCTTTACAGGCCTTTTCTTCATCCACAAATTGGTGTTTAATGTAAATAAAAACCGTGAAGCTATTTATCAACCACATGTGCTCTAAGTGTCATTCCAATTCTGAAACTACACACTATTTCATTTTATCATTAAAAAAAAAAAAAAAAGTGCTGGATACCTGACAAAATGTTCCATGCACTCTGCAGTCAGAAAAGCCAAATACTGGCTTTTTTTGTGGCAAGCTGGATGAGTGTATTCTGAAAGTGTATATCCTTTATATGAATACAAACTCTAAGTAGCAGAAAGACAAAAATAACACACAAGATTTTCTTGGGAAAGGTAATTTATAAGTTTTGTAAAATCTACAACAGAGCAGCTTCAAAAACCCAAACCTGCCTCAGAATGTAAGTTAGGCCATTAGGGGAGCTGTGATGAACAATTTGATTTTTGAAAACATTTTAGGTCCTCTGATTAGAGGAAGAACTGGTTGTTTACTGTAACCCTGTGAAACCCTGTCTTGCAGAAAGCAGTGGGCTAAGGTGCATTCTGAATACAAAGAAGGAATGAATTCTTTCTCTTTTCTTTTTAGTGATTGTTTTCTGTTTTTGTTTTGAGATAATTTACATTTACCCTTTTAAAGTCAATACATTTAGTAGTTTTTAGTACATTCACATGGTATGCAACTGTCACCACTAATTACAGAACATTTTCATTACCCGAAAAGAAATTCCACATCTCTTTCCTCCTAGTTCCTGGCAACCAATAATCTACTTTCTGTCTCTATGGATTTGTCTATTCTGGACATTTCAAATAAATAGAATCATACAACATATGGCCTTTTGCGTCTGACTTCTTTCACTTAACATCTTTTCAGAATTGATCTGTCGTAGCATATATCAGTTCATTCCTTTTTCATTGTCAAGTAATATTCCACTATGTTAATATACCATTTTATCCATTCTTCAGTTGATGGACATCTGGGTTGTTTCAAACTTTTGGCTATTATGAATAATGCTAAAAATGTACATGTACAAATTTTTGTGTAGATATAAGTTTTCGTTTCTCTTGGGTATAATATACCTAGGATTGGAATTGCTGGGTCATAGGATAACTCTACATTTAACTTTTTGAAGAGCTGCAAGATTGTTTTCCACAGCAACTGCACCATTTTACATTCCCACCAGCAATGTATGGGGCTTCCAATTTCTCGACAGCCTCACTAAAATTTCAAAACTTACTGTAGTCCATTTTACTGAATGTAGCCATCTTAGTAAGTGTGCAGTAGTATCTTGCTGTGGTTAACATTCGTATTTCCCTGATGATTAATGGTGTGGAGTATCTTTTCATGTGCTTATCAGTCATTTGTGTATTTAGTCTGCCCTCCCTTCCCTTCTTCCTGCTGGCTCCACCTATCTTCCTCTAAGTGGGGACAAAGGGGCAGCACAGGGCGCAGTGGGCAGAACAATGGCCTGCCAAAGACATCCAAGTCCTAATTCTTAGAACCTGTAAAAGTCAAGTCACATGGCAAAGAGAAACTGAGGCAGAAGATGAGATGAAAGTTGCTAATCACCTGACTTTAAAACAGTGAGATTATCTGGGCGGGCCCCATGTTGGCACGAGGGCTCTTTAACCTGGACAAGGGAGGCAGACGTCAGAGTCATACTGAGATCGCTGACTCCACTATCTTCCTCTAAGTGGGGACAAAGGGGCAGCACAGGGCGCAGTGGGCAGAACAATGGCCTGCCAAAGACATCCAAGTCCTAATTCTTAGAACCTGTAAAAGTCAAGTCACATGGCAAAGAGAAACTGAGGCAGAAGATGAGATGAAAGTTGCTAATCACCTGACTTTAAAACAGTGAGATTATCTGGGCGGGCCCCATGTTGGCACGAGGGCTCTTTAACCTGGACAAGGGAGGCAGACGTCAGAGTCATACTGAGATCTGAGAAAGACTCGACCAGCCACTGCCAGTTTGAAGACAGATGAAGGGCCGTGAGCCAAAGAATTCAGGCAGCCTCTCCAGGCTGGCAAAGCACCAAGACAGATGTCCCCCTAGAGCCTCCTGAAGGGAATTCAGATCCGCCAGCACCTTCATTTTAGCCCAGTGAGACCCACTCTGGACTTCTCGCCTCCAGAACTACAACACATATGTGTTGTTTTAAGCCACTAAGTTTGTGGTAATCTGTTACAGAAACGAAGAAGCCAATATAGAAGGCTTTTCAACTGTACTCCCTGGGACCTTAGGGCCTCAGAGGCAGTGTCCAGAGTCAGAGTGGAACCAGTCATGCCACTACTTTTTATACACTGAGCTTTAATAAAAAGATGCTTAAAATATTTTTTTTTAAAAAAATGACTGGTGCAACAGAAAGAGTACGGGGTCTGACAGAGCTTGGTCCAGTCTGTTTATCAGCCAGATGATCTTCCCACACTTATCTTAACCTTCCTGAGCCTCAGGGATTCATCTGTAAAAACGGACGACCACCTCACAGGGTTGTTATAAATGGGGCAATGGGTATGACAGTCTGGCCTTGTGTCCTCAGGGCTGCCTTTCCAGCCCCCTTCCTCCTTCAGTCTTCTCTACAGATGAGGCACAATCAAAAAATGTCTTATCCTGTCCCCCCACACAAATACAGGAGTCAGGAGGAGCAGAATCCCACCTCCCCGAGTCCACTCAAGAAACTGGAGTCCGGCTGGGGTTCCATTCACTCACTCACTCACTCATTCATTCATTCAACGAATCTTTATTGCATGGCCAGGGCTAAGGTGGTGAGCAAAACAAACTGGTCTCTACCCTCATGAAGCTTACATTATAGAAGAGAGAGACATTAATCAGTCAGGCAAACAAATACACCATTCCATCAGTGACGGCTACGAGGGAGAGCGGGGGAGAGGTGCGTGGGCGACCTGTGGCAGTGCTGGAGGGCGGGAAGGGATTCAGCCAGGTCAGAAAAGGCTTTGTAAAGAAAAATGACTCCTGGGTTCCACTGGGTGGGTGGCGGTGCCATTCCCAGAAACAGTAGAAGAGCTGGGCCGAGCTGGGAGTGGGGGGACCATGGGGTCAGTCTGGGACATCCAAGCGGAGCTATCACCTGGGCATTTGGACATACAGGACATATAACTCATCTCTGGGCTAGAAATAAAAACATGGCTGGCGCATGTGAACGAGCAGTGACAAGCAGGGGAGGGGACCTGAGATCACCCACCAGAGAGTGAGAGAAGGGGGCCTGTGACAAACATTTAACACCCAAGAGCTGGAGGGTGACGCAAAGGAGGCTGATACGAGAGGACTACGTTACGGAAGGTGAGGGCGCAGAGTGCGTGCATGAGGAAGTGGTCCACAGTGTCCAAAGTTACTGTACGGCTCCATGAGACGCCACCTGACTGATGGGGACCCTGCTCACCGAGCTGGGCAACTATACTGGAGAAGCCTGGTATCCGAGAGGTGTGCCTATTAGATATCCTTCCAGAGGGCTCTGGAAAGTGACCCGGATATTAGAGGCTCAACTGCTACCAGCTTCCTGTGGAAAAACTAATAGGAGAGTAGAGACCTTGGTATCGTATCCAACAACCTGGCCCCAGGAACTGGCTCAAATGGGGTACAGAAAAGGGCAGATACCAGCCTGGTCACGCCCTCTGTCCCAAGGCTGGTTAAATATGTACAGCTTTAAAACTAGGGCAATACCTGGGACCTGACACCAGAGAGCAAGGGGTGGGGAGGGCTCCTCCTCTCTCACAGGCACCCAGCCGGCCAGGCGCCTGGCCCAGGGCCTTTAGCTGCAGCAACGGCACAGTTTTCTGGTTCTTCCACCCCCAGCGCTGAACCTACTTACCTGGTAAGACTCCTGAACCCTGGACTTTGACTATCTCCTTTTCGCGCTCGTCCGCCTGCTCTGAGTTCTCAACCACCTGATCCAACTCCTCACTCAGCTAAAGGGAGAAAAAAAGAGGGAAAACAGGTCAGTTACATCCGCCTTGCTCTTCCAGACTAGAAGAAAGCAGAAGCTGCTTCTCACTTGTCATAAAAAAAAATATATGTCACATGATGCAGGGTGTGTTATACCAATTTTACAGATGGGGACACTGAAGCTCAGAAAACTCAAGAAACTTGCTATATATTCGTTTCCTAGAGCTGCCATAACGAAGCACCACTAACTAGGTGGCTTATTTATTCCCTCACAGTTCTGGAGGCTAGAAATCTGAAACCAAGGTACTGGCAGGGTTGGTTCCTTCGCAAGGCTGTGAGAAGGAATCTATTTCATGCCTCTCTCTGAGTTTCTGGTAATGGCCAGCAATCCTTGGAGTTCAATGGCTTGTAGATGCATCCGATCTCCAATCTCAGCTTCCATCTTCACATGGAGTCTCTCTTTCTTCACGTGGTCATCTTATACCGACACCATTCATGTTGGATTTAGGCCCACCCTCCTGCAGTGGGACCTCATCTTAACTAACTACATCTGAAACAACCTATTTCCAAATAAGGCCACATTCTGAGGTCCTCGGGATTAGGAGCTGAACATCTTCTTTGGGAGGACACAATCCAATACATAACACTTTCCATGGCCATAGAGCCAGGAGTCAAATCCAAGTTGGCCTAGTTCCAAAGCCCATGATCTTAACCACTTCCCAGAGGAGGAGGAAATGCAGCTTAGAGTCTGCTGACTGAGAAGAGAGAACAGTGAAGTTGCTGCTGGAGCTCTCTAGGACTCAGGCTAAAGTTCAACTCAGACTAAATGGCAGAACAAAGTGGGGAGGACGGTCCATTTCAGGGACAGATACTAATTAGCGGCCTGGTAGCAGGCAACCTCAACCTCACTCCATCAGGGTTTCACCTGTCAAAAGGGGAAAATGATGCCACTTAGGGCTAAGGCAAAAAGGATACAACCACCACCAAGTCTCTGCAGCATTGAGGAGGGCAGCAGAGGTCAAGATCGGAGTTAGAGGAGGAGCTATCACTGCATTAGGATGGGATGGGGAAGGGAGAGTTTTCTCAAATATTTTCTTGGACCCACAGTATACACTAAGGTCTCAACACATTTTCATTAAAAATTCATCTCCAAGAGACTTGAGTTAAATATAGATCTTATGCATCCATTATTCTTGCAGCTCCCTCTCCATGCCTCCACTCCTGCCTCTTAGAATCAGGTAAAACCCCCAGTTTAAAGCCCTCTTGGACATGGTTCCATAGTGCAGCGGTTAGCCCGTCTGCTTTACATGCAGAAGGTCCTGGGTTCGCGCCCCAGTGGGGCCACAGTCCATGGTCTACCACCATGCCACCCTGAACAAGCCCGATGTCTCATCTTAGAACCTAAGCAGGGTCAGGCCTGGTTAGTACTTGGACGGGAGACCACCTAGGAAGACCAGGTGCTGTAGGCATAAATAATAATAAAATAAATAAATAAAGCTCTCTGATCATAAAAAAAGAAAACCAACAAGTAGGAGGAGGCTGGAAAGTCACCATGAGATCCAGGCCCCAGATCAGGAGGTCCCCGGGGAGTTC